GGCGGAGTGTGTACGACACACGACTATATGTTTTATAGAATAGAGCTGGGAGTCCCTTATTATTTCTCGCCACGCGATTCACACACGAGGTTTGAAACTCTCCGTTGAAATGCGCACCGCCACCGCCTGCCATCTATGCGCGCATTAAGATGAGAGAGAGGTTTCAGTGTATCACGAAATGTTATTCCTGACCGCTGGGTAGCACTGGATTGTGGCTGGCACGTGACGACAGTAGCCACCTGGCCATAGCGAGAGGGTATACGTACTGGATGCGGTTTTGCCGGGTGCGGAGATATTGTCCGGGTCGCTGGCAGTGCTTGTCGTATGAGTGAAACGTGATTAAAACTATTTGTATTTTACCAGGTAAATCCCACTGGGCTATATAGCTCTTTTTCAGAAGCGATCTGGCCACAAATGACATCTCAACGAAGTGGTCAGATGCTCTAAACGCACGTTGATTCTAAATGTGGAGGGAGAAACCGGAGGACCAAAATCCACGCGGTGCCATGGGGAGAACATGCAGCCTCCAAATATACAGGCATTGTCAGGGCCGGACTGGAACCCGCAACCTCCTGCATAGCAGGCGAGGTCGTTAACATCTCGCCACCGCAGCACCCCACTCAACTAATAGCCACAGGCAACATGTATACTGAATGTGGTGTGCCGGGCGCACGAACGATGTCTGGTTCGCCGACTGTAACCGACCCGGCTGAGATCAATCCCTGATCAAGACGCTACCACGGGGGTTTAAGCAGGAATGTACCACAGGCTAATATTGTTATGAACGTGTGTATCTTCTTGGTTCTTTCGGTAAAGTCACGTAGAAGGGAAGTAATAAAATAATAAAAATAAAACATAATAAAATAATTCTCACGACGTTTCGGCCACAACACAAGCAGCCGTCCTCAGGTGAAGACCAGGTCTGTCGAGGCGACAGCGTCTAGACGTTTTATTTATATTATTTTATTACTTCCCTTCTACGTGACTTTACCGAAAGAACCAAGAAGATGAATCCCTGCAGTCACGAAAGCTTTAAATCGAAACGTGTGTATTCTACGACGGAAGTCAGCCGTGTACCAAGAATCGTGTAACTGACACGTCTGAGCTGCGTGACAGCCGTGGCCGGAGAGCTCCCCACGTGAGACTTGAAGTCACGTGGTCGTCGGCGTGCTGCTGCTGTCATTGGCGCTCGCAGCGACGTGGCGATGCGACCAGGCGCGCTCTCCCGACGTGATCCTGAAGACGGAGGCTTGTGTTGCTTCCTGAAACGTCGTGAATTTTTTAATTTGTTTTATTTTACTTTTATTAATTTAAATTGTTTACCTACGTGACTTTACCAAAAAAACCTAAGAGTATGAATCCTTGCAGTCACGAAAGCTTCAAATCTAGAGTCTCTTCTTGGTTCTTTCGGCAAAGTCACGTAGAATGGAAATAATAAAATAATAAAAATACAACATCATAAAATAATAAAAATAAAACATAATAAAATAATTCTCACTCAAAATAATACAAATAAAACATAATAAAATAATTCTCAGTGAGAATTATTTTATTATGTTTTATTTTTATTATTTTATTATTTCCATTCTACGTGACTTTACCGAAAGAACCAAGAAGATGAATCCCTGCAGTCACGAAAGCTTTCAATCGAAACCTGAGGAGTCTATTACAAAGGCGATTGCAATAGCCTCGTTTTTTTGTTTTGGGGCTATAGTATTTGAGAGGGGGGGGGGGAATATTTAATAAAAAAATAATTTCTTGCTGTGGTTTTACCCACCTGATGATGGTTGCTTGTGTTGCTATCGAAACGTCGTGATTTGTTTTATTTTTTAAATTTATTTCCAACTACGTGACTTTACCGAAAGAACCCAAGAGTATGGATTCCTGCAGTCACAAAAGCTTCCAATCAAGATTGAATTGATTGGCTGTTGCACACATTTCAAAACAGCTTTGGCGACTCATCGGAATTCCGTAAGAGATCAATAGTTTAAAAGCAGGAGCTGACAGCAACGTCAGTAAAAAGTGACTGCAGCTTCATGTCAAGGCTTATTTAAATACTTTATTTAATTTAAATATATTCAAATGAGGAGTGGAGCGCTGGGCGCAGTAGTTAGCGCACTGCGCTCCGAACTTTGCACGCATGTACATATATGTGTATGTTTTACATGCATGCATAACATAATGTGTGTGTGTCTGGGTATATGCATATAACGATATGTGTATATGAATATACATCAGGGTATGTGAGCATGCGTGAAAGGAGTTCCTGGTGCGATGTGTGAACGCGTATTAACATCGCCACTAGGGAGACAAAGGCGGCCGGGCGTGGGTGGTGCTGGCCACCCACCCTCTCGTGTGCCATGCCGGCCTTCGTAGGTGCTCGCTAACAGCACTTGCCCTAAGAGTATTCAAGGCTATATGGGGCTTCTTTGTTATTTTTTTATTTACAGTTGTACGAGTATACGAGTCGGTGTACGGGCACGTGTTTCTGGGTACGCGTAAGTGCACAAGTGAGTCTGTGGATGACATATTGCATGTTCTGCATGTACTAAGTACATTGATGTCAGAGTTATGAATATTACATGTGGAATGCATGACGTGAAAGGTCTTTTGCATATTCAATATTTGTACTGTTATGATAAACAATTATACAAGTTTAATACTAACGTTAAATGTCTTTATAATTTAGAATACATTTGCAATGATGGAATGAATGAGCATTCTATTCTGTTGTGTTTAGGATGCATATAGCCGCCTTTTCGGGGCATTCTAACGTAATTATCAAAATATTAGCGGGCTTTTTTCCCGGATTATAAGACGCACACTTCGCCGCGTACTCAAAAAGCAACACGAGAGCGTGCGCCTTACAATCCGATACACTGCACAAATGATCGGGTTTCATCTTCTTGGTTCTTTCGGTAAAGTCACGTAGAAGGGAAATAATAAAATAATAAAATTATAAATATTTATTTTTTTCATTACTTTATTATTTCCCTTCTACGCGACTTTACCGAAAGAACCAAGAAGATGAATCCCTGCAGTCACGAAAGCTTTAAATCGAAAAAAAAATTATCGGGTGATGCTGCTACTGATGCTCATGCAATACAAACTCTACACGCTGGCCAATTACGTCGTTAGCGCGACCTTTAATCAATAGTGCGGCATGTATATGATAGACAAGTGCGGTGGTAATGACGAGATCATCTGGAAACCAACTGCATTGGCCACGTTTTGGAGCGTCTTGCAATCCGAATCGCACCGTCTTGTGACACTACCAGTAATGCGACGTTGTCCCAGGTTCGTTGATGTCGTGAAAGTCCAGGGCGCTTTGTTGTCCGGCATGAACTCACACACGCGTTATCTTTCTCGCGTTACCAAACGTGGTGTAGGGGGGGGGGGTATTTAAACCGTGTCAACAGTAACGGTAAAACACGTGTGTGTTGTCGCTGGCTCTGTGAACTCGGCCGACTGAGTTCAACTCCCGGTCACAGCTAATGCTGGCGTGGTGAGAATTACCTGGTGTCCCTCTGAGCTGTCGCTGAGTGCGTAATACCTGCATGATACATGCACGTCTTAATTAACATGTGCATTATACATCTTCTTGGTTCTTTCGGTAAAGTCAGAAAGAACCAAGAAGATGAATCCCTGCAGTCACGAATGCATTATACATGTTCGCTATCATTAACATACGCATGATACATACACACAGAAATTAGCATATGGATCATACACGCACGCCGATCAATAACATACGGATCATACGTGCACGATGCAATTAACATACGTGTCATACATACACAAGGCAATGAACACATGCATAATACATGCACACCGTAATTAGCATATGGACCATACATGCATGCGATGCTTAACATATGAATCATACATGCACGTTGTAATCTACAAATGTATCATACATGCATGCGGTGCTTAACATATGAATCATACATGCACATTGTAATCTACAAATGTATCATACATGCATGCGCTAATTAGCATGCGGGTCATGCATGTATGTCGTAATTAGCATATGTATCATATATGTATGCGATGTCTGACATATGAATCATATATGCATGTCGCAATTAACATATGGATCATACATGTATGCGATCATTAACATATAGATCTGACATACACGCGGTAATTAATATATGGATCATAAATACGTGAATACACATATTGATTGTACATGCACACCTTAATTAACATATGTATCACACACACGCGCGGTCATTAGTATATGGATCATACACACGGCCATTAACATATGTTTCATACATGCACGCGTCCGTCAACATATCGAATATACATACACACGGTAATTAACTAAGAAAACGGAACAAAACTGGAAAAGGTGTGCCACATACGGCGCGAAAGAAGTTCAACGTGACGTACACACGAACGACTCACGGAGAGACCAAAGCGATACTCGCAATAGCAGGAGGGAGACACGGAGATGGGGACCACGTGGGCCAGGGAACGTTCTAAGAAGAACGACGTCACTCAAAGTGCTCAGGAAAGTCAACAAAGCGGCTAATGCTGGTTTGCGGCCTAGATAGATAGATCGTTTATTGTCATTGTCACCAGTACAACGAAATTTAAAATGCTCACCAGTCAGGGCATCATTCATAATTTAAATTAAATAAAACAAGAAAATAAAAATAAAATTAAATGAAAGATAATCAATTTATACTATATATAAAAACAGCCCAAGTATACCCACATACCCACATAAGGTTACATTTGTCATTGCACATCTCTATTTCACAGTCAATTGTAAACACTATTACTTAATAATTAATTAGCATTATTGAGTTTGGTGATCGCTGTAGGATAAAAGCTCTGTTTGAATCTGTTTGTCCTTGTTTTGACTGATCTGAATCGTCTGCCTGATGGCAACAGCTCAAACAGTGAGTGTCCAGGGTGAGAAGAGTCCTTTATAATGTGCTGTGCTTTTTTGATGCAACGTGAACTGTGTAGTTCTTCCGGTGTGTTGTCCAGTGGTGCACGAGCACAAATAAATAAACAGCGACTCAAACACGTTCGTCGCAGCACCTGCTATGAAGAAGGCCCATTGCCCGAAACGTCGCCTGTTACACATTCGTTTCCCAGTGTATTTTCAGTCGCTCCCCGCAAACGGCGTTCTTGACGGATTTTTCAGGAGAAGTTCACCCTAGACGGCCGATGGTCGAGATCAATGACGGCATGGCAGCCACAAGGCGTGGAACGTGCCGGAGAGGACGTCGGCACGGGGGGGAGACGGAGCGGCGATTTGGGACTCGTGGTGCAGGTCTGTTGAGGTGGATTGTTGGTTGTGTCGTGAGTGACGGCGTCGGCTGGGGGATGCCAATTTACATCCAGCAATTGATTGATCATGGCTGATGGAATATTGAGCTGATATTACGCATTAATTAATGCGTTCATGCATCGTTGGACAATAGTGCCCAAGTATAGGCATGTCTAAATTATCTCCACAGAGCCTTAAGCTTAAATAGACGCTCCAAGCCCAGGACGTGTCATTCAGACTCGACAGACTTATCGACAGACTGTTCTTCACCTGAGGACGGCTGCTTGCGTTGTGGCCGAAACGTCGTGAAAATTATTTTATTATGTTTTATTTTTATTATTTTATTATTTCTATTCTACGTGACTTTACCGAAAGAACCAAGAAGATGAATCCATGCAGTCACGAAAGCTTTAAATCGAAATTTAGAGCCTTAAGACTCAGGAATTCCTTTCAATGCAATAAATAATACATCAGCCTACGGCCGGTTGTCAATCCGCTGCTGGATGAAGGCCTCCCCACGCCGCGTGGGTCAGGGGGTTTGTTTGACCATACTTCACCACGCAATCTCAGTGCGGGTTGTAGAATGGGTGGAGGGGGTGGATGAAACCAAGAGTCGGTCGAGTTAGATCACTCGCCACTGATGTTAGCCGTGGCCGCGAATACAACTCCCCGGTTGCCGCCGGGTTCATAGCGCAGGGCGCCCTGTCCACTCGCGCCACCGCTCTGACTCTCGATGTCATCAAACGGCACCTTCGGTTGGCGTGCGCGGTGCGTGCGGTCGCGATTTCACGGTCACGGAATTACCGCGAGTGGACGCAGGCCGTACGAGTGAGGATAAGCGGCGAGTGATAAATGGGCTCTCATCATTTCGAGGGTTTTTTGTCGTTAAAAGCCGCCACCACCCGACACGGCCAACTAGTGAGGGTCGTCACGTAAACGGAACGTGGCCAATTCGTCACTCGTACAGCACGCCGGCGTGTCGGAGAGCCAAGCCATTTAACGTTGTAATTCCGTTACCGTTGAATTGCGAATATAGCATACGCGTGTGAATGTATACAGAATAATAGATAATTATCAATGTACATATACGCGGTGTGTATATATGTGCAATTAAAAACAAATATTCCAACCATACAGAATAGCCGTGTCCAGACTGTTGGGGAAAACTACTGTCAAGGCCGGAGCGAGGAGGGTTGCGTGGCGGTGGTGCTGTGCCTAGCCCCACGCCCGTCCGCCTTTGTCTCCCCGGTGCTGATATATACATACAGCACCAGCTAGCCGACCTATTTCATGCTGAGTCGACCTAGCGAGGACGCAGGAACGCTTGATACCTGATATAACTCGCCACTGATTTTTTTTTTTTAATCCGCGGCCAGGAATCGATATTCGCCGGGTTCCAAAGCGCAGTGCGCTAACCGCCGCGCCACCGCTCCTGCACGCACAAACAGACCGCATTTGGTCGAAGTGTAGCAGCAGCAGCGGCGGCAGCGGCAGAAGTAGCAGCGATCTCAATCGACTCCTCGCAAACGTTGGACACTAATCGCCTGCACCGCTTAGCGACCTCACAAGGCTTGAGTGAACCGCACATGGCAGTGTCAGTGGAGGGGGGGAAGGTGGGGGAGGAGGAGGAGGCGGGGGTGGTGGGTGGAGTATTGAGGGTGGTGGGGGGGGGAGGTAGTTGTGGTGGTGGTGGTAGTGGTGGGTGGGTGGGTGGTGGGAGGGGAGGGTGGTGGAGTGGTGATGGAAGCGATTGTGTATCGGGAAGGTGGTGGTGGTGGTGGTGGAGGGGAGGAGGTGATGGAGTCTGGTGGAGTACGTGGGTGGGAGGACGCGGATGGTGCCGGTGGTGGAGGCAATGGCGTGTTGGGAAAGTGGTGGTGGTGGATGGGAGGGGTTGGTGGTTATACCTTCGCTGTGTATGTATGTGTGTCGGCGTGTGCGTGTGTGCGTGCATGTGTGTGTGTGAGTATATATATGCAGGATAAGGCACGTCATACTAGTAGGTGTTTCCATGGTGATTTGCTTTATAAAAGTGATGGCAGGAGCCAACTTGGTCTGTCCATGCAAGCAGGGACGAGACAGAGCTATCATCACCACCACCACCACCAACTTTGAAGCGAGCTCTCTCTCTCTTCGCTCAACCTTTACCAAGTGAGTCCATCCCTCTGTCATTGTTGCATTCGACTTAAAACACAGCTTGCCCAGCGCACGCCCATTAGACATTATAATTATCATGCTCAGCTTTTCTTTATTGTACAACATTTTGATTCGTTAAAAATAAAACAAAAAAGTTCCAATGTATTGCCTGATTCTACGATTATGTATGCTTCAACCAACCCGCATGGTCAAACAGCCCGCAATTCCGAGACAATTACCGTGCTATTAATTTGCGAGTGTCTTGTTTGTGTGTTTTTTATTTGATATCACGTAGAGCGCTGATGGCTTTTCAAAAGTGGTAACTGGCTCGAGTGTCCGTCTCGTGAGCGAGACAAAGTTGTGAATGTTTCCAAGGGTCGATGATGATGATGATTTATTTTAGTAACTAAACAAACAACAAAACACCCGCTTGATGAACTTTATGTGCGTGAAAACCGATGGACTTAACTGAATCAGTTTTATTTTCTTATCAAACTTCCGAAAAAAAAGTTTTCCGTATTTTGATTGCTAATAATTTTGGCAAAAAAAAATCGCATCTTCCCCTTTAATGCATTGTACAAACGATCGCTACTTTTGTCAACACGCTGACATTTAAAAAGAGGGAAGTGGTTACGAACTTTGCAGCAGGTGGTGAGAGAGGGCATTCACTTTAACTTCTCAATTGACTTTACGCAAAACACGTAACATACGTCAACACTTGAGAGAGAGAGAGAGCGAGAGAAACATCACACCGCCAACACAACCCAAGCACCGAGATCCTCTGCGAGTCTGTGCAAGACAATCAACCAACCACCTTACTTACCTTTTCAAAAGCAAATCGCGCATCATCGCAGTCACATCCGCATCAAACGACCACGGGCTTAATGATCGATGCCACGCCGCTCAACATCTCAGCCGAGAGCGAGCAAACTCCTCCGCTCTGCGAGCCGGCGAAATCGTCGACATCGTCCATCCGCGTTGCAGCCACAGGTCCACCACTTCGCGAGCCTCCGTCTTGCTCGGCAAATCTCGCGTCTCTCCTTGACACCACCCCCTCGCCCCGCACCTACCCGCAGTGCGAAGCGCGCGCGTTTGACCGCAGCGATTAAGTAAGCAAGCAAGCGGGCGACGCGTTTGTCTGCCCGTCCGTGCGTCTTTGGTACGCGGCGGGAAGAGTGAGCCGACTAGGTGAGTCTGCGGCCGCTAGGTGGTACTGTTTGGTTTTCTGATTAAAACACCCAACAACAACAACAAAACACGGATTGATGTTCTTTCGCTTCTCCCTCCCCCCCTTTACTCTTTCCCACGCGGCGTTCCGCCGAAATGCGGGCTTAAGGATCGTCTCACCGTGATCGCTAAGCGCCGAGATGCAGGCCGCGCGCGTCGGAATCTCGAGCCGTTTTGCTGCTGCTGTTGCTGCTGCTGTTGCTGCTGCTCTTGCTGTTGTTGCTGCTGCTGCTGTTGCTGCTGCTGTTGCTGCTGTTGCTGCTGCTGTTGCTGCTGTTTCTGCTGCTGTTGCTGCTGCTGTTGTTGCTGCTGCTGTTGCTGCTGTTGCTGCTGCTGTTGCTGCTGTTGCTGCTGCTGTTGCTGCTGTTTCTGCTGCTGTTGCTGCTGCTGTTGTTGCTGCTGCTGTTGCTGCTGTTGCTGCTGTTGTTGCTGTTGCTGCTGCTCTTCGCTCGTGATGCACGCGCAAGGCATGGGGGGGGGGGACAGCCGTGACTCGGCACGCCGAGGACACGTCCGCCTCGTTCGCCTTTCTTCCACTCAACACGATCGCTCCACCGCAGGCAGCCTCGTGCGCAACCGAGGCTACGATTGCAACGGACACAATCCGTCGATCCGATGTTCATCGCGTGGCCGTGCGCGCGCGTGTGCGATGAACGAGGACGGCGCGTGTGTCCGTGCGTACAAGCAACACACGCCTCGTTCGTTTTACGCACACACACACACAAACTCGAAAAGTTCGCTCCGAGAAAAGCGCCCACATCGCGCATAGAGCGCGCACAGTCACTGCAAAAGTGCTGTCACCAGTTGTACGTGCGCGCGTGCGTGTACACACACATAATGAACTCGAGTTGGCGTTAACTAAAGTCTAAATGAACAAACGTATATTTCTGTAGACACATAAATCAGATCCGACGAGCGCTGCTTTATTGCACCGCTTCTTGCCTCCCCCACCCCACCTCCTCCAGCACCTCCGATTAGCACGGCGCGAAAGAAGTTCAACATACATACATACAGTTCGTACATACATGATGCAATCCGGGCGCACGATCTCGCCGCGCGCTCCAAGTCACACGCAGACGCGAGCTGATAAACGCGCGACTTCGACACGCCGGGTGCAGCCGGAGAGTTGCCGATCTCTCTGTCCGTGCAACCCTGGAGCCCCGCTTGGCACCGCTGCTGCTGCTGCCGCTGCTGCTGCCGCTGCTGCAGTAGAGACTCTCCAAGTTGACAGTCTATAGGGCTATTCCATTTCATTCCTGGCTCCGGCTTGCGGGTGGCGCGGACTGCGATGTGTGCTGCGTTGTTGGCAGTGGTGGTGGTGCCGCTGCTGCTGCTGGCGCTGTGTTAAGAGTGAGAGTGGTGGCGGTGACGACGGTGGCGGTGACGCCGCTGGTGACGATTGCCATGCCGGTCGCGAGTGTTCGTGAAGACGGTCAGAGTGCTGAGTGGTGCGAGTGGCGCGTGAGCTGGTGGCACTCGTGGTACTGGTGCGGGTGGTGCTGACGATGATGGTGCTGGTGGGGGTGGTGCCGGTGGTGCTGACGATGATGGTGCGTTGGTGTCGGTGGTGCTGACGATGATGGTACTGGTGCCGGTGGTGCTGATGATGATGGTACTGGTGGGGGTGGTGTCGGTGGTGCTGACGATGATGGTGCTGGTGGGGGTGGTGCGGGTGGTGCTGACGATGATGGTGCTGATTGGGTGGTGCGGGTGGTGCTGACGATGATGGTGCTGATTGGGTGGTGCGGGTGGTGCTGACGATGACGGTGCTGACGGGGTGGTGTCGGTCGTGCTGCTGCCGTTGGCGGTAACGACAACAGCGCACGATGACGAGCGATGCGAGTTGATGGTGCCCGATGTTGACGGCGAGTCGGGGGAATCCCCTCGGTGTGCGCGGTGTGACGGCAACCCGGGCGCGAGCATGAGGCTCGTAGCTTGTCTACGCGCACTGCGCTCAACTCACGGAAGCGGCGGCAGCAGCGGCAGCGGCAGCAGCGCCGACCCCCTGTGCAATATAAACCAAGCCCCTGCCTCGACGAACCCCCCCCCCCCCCCCCACCACCACTCACTCGCATATGACAACACGGTGTCCACCTCTCTCTCTCTCGTGTCTCATGGCAGAGCGGCACCGGCAAAATTAGCAGCGCCCGCGAAAGTTTGACATCCCAGAGACGTTCATCCCAAACTCACGGCGACAACCTCGAAACTTTCCCCGCATGCGCGCGCGCTCGTTTCGCCGTGCGCGAAGTCGTACGCGCGCCAGGACGCGTCCTGTCCACCAACATCACGCGCGTGTTCCTTTATTGACCGTAGTTCTGTTGTGCTATTCGAACCAACTCCCCCACCCGCCCCCGCCCTCCAACTCCCTCTTCCGCACCTCCTCATCCGTCGCCTTTGCCTGATCCGATCGACCACCAAGCAACCCCACCAACCTTCAACAACCGCCCGCCCGCCGGCAACTCAACTCCGTGGCGCCCGACGCGGAGCAGGGGACGCAGCGCGCACCGGCGACGTGAGACGCCGCAGGGAGAGGACAGAGAGCGAGCGAGAGAGAGAGAGCGCAAGAGCGCAAGAGCGATGCTTCTGCTACCCAGCCTCGACGCGGTGTCGGCCGCGAGCACCGTCACCGCGTGCCTCGCCTCGCTCGTGCTCCTCGTCACCGTCGTGCAGCAGCTGTGGAGGCTCCGCTGGGCGGCGGGGCGAGACAAGAGCAGCGCCCTGCCGCTGCCCAAAGGCTCCATGGGCTTCCCCGTGGTGGGAGAAACGTTCCACTGGATGGTGCAGGTGAGGCGGCTGGAGGAGGAGGAGGGAGTTGCCGGGGTTGATGGATGAGTTGCGGACGCGCGCGCGGCTCGATTGTTGCGTTAATGCGCGCGTTCCTCGCTCCACGCTCGCTCCCCACTCGCTCACTCACACTCCCCACTCACTCACTCACACTCCCCACTCACCCTCACTCACACTCCCCACTCACTCACGCTCCCCACTCACACTCACACTCCCCACTCACGCTCTCTCCCCACTCACTCACGCTCCCCACTCACACTCACTCACACTCCCCACTCACTCACTCTCCCCACTCACTCACTCACACTCCCCACTCACTCACACTCACTCACACTCCACACTCACTCACTCACACTCGCTCACGCTCCCCACTCACTCACGCTCCCCACTCACTCACTCACGCTCTCTCACGCTCCCCACTCACACTCACTCACACTCACTCACACTCCCCACTCACTCACGCTCGCTCCCCACTCACTCACACTCACTCATTCACACTCCCCACTCACTCACGCTCCCTACTCACTCACGCTCGCTCGCTCCCCACTCACTCACACTCCCCACTCACTCACGCTCTCTCACTCACGCTCCCCACTCACGCTCTCTCACGCTCCCCACTCACTCACGCTCTCACGCTCTTTCACGCTCGCTCCCCACTCGCACTCACTCACGCTCACTCACTCACGCTCCCCACTCACTCACGCTCCCCACTAACTCACTCACTCACGCTCTCTCACGCTCCCCACTCCGCTCACTCACTTACCCACTCACTCACTCGCTCACTCACTCGCTGACGCTCGCTCCCCACTCAGTCACGCTCCCGACTCACTCACGCTCCTCACTCACTCACATACCCACTCACTCACTCACACTCCCCACTCACACTCACTCACACTCCCTACTCACTCACGCTCCCCACTCACACTCACTCACACTCCCCACTCACGCTCTCTCCCCACTCACTCACGCTCCCCACTCACACTCACTCACACTCCCCACTCACTCACTCTCCCCACTCACTCACACTCCCCACTCACTCACACTCACTCACACTCCACACTCACTCACTCACACTCGCTCACGCTCCCCACTCACTCACGCTCCCCACTCACTCACGCTCCCCACTCACTCACGCTCTCTCACGCTCCCCACTCACACTCACTCACGCTCGCTCGCTCCCCACTCACTCACACTCCCCACTCACTCACTCACGCTCTCTCACTCACGCTCCCGACTCACGCTCTCTCACGCTCCCCACTCACAGTTACTCACACTCCCCACTCACTCACGCTCTTTCACGCTCTTTCACGCTCGCTCCCCACTCGCACTTACTCACTCACTCACGCTCCCCACTCACTCACGCTCCCCACTCACTCACGCTCTCTCACGCTCCCCACTCCGCTCACTCACTTACCCACTCACTCACTCGCTGACGCTCGCTCCCCACTCACTCACGCTCCCGACTCACTCACGCTCCTCACTCACTCACATACCCACTCACTCACTCACGCTCCCCACTAACTCACTCACGCTCCCCACTCCGCTCACTCACGCTCTCTCACGCTCTCTCCCCACTCACTCACGCTCCCGACTCACTCACGCTCCTCACTCACTCACATACCCACTCACTCACTCACGCTCCCCACTAACTCACTCACGCTCCCCACTCCGCTCACTCACGCTCTCTCACGCTCTCTCCCCACTCACTCACGCTCCCGACTCACTCACGCTCCTCACTCACTCACATACCCACTCACTCACTCACGCTCCCCACTAACTCACTCACGCTCCCCACTCCGCTCACTCACGCTCTCTCACGCTCTTTCCCCACTCACTCACGCTCTCTCCCCACTCACTCACGCTCCCCACTAACTCACTCACTCACGCTCTCTCACGCTCCCCACTCCGCTCACTCACGCTCTCTCACGCTCTCTCCCCACTCACTCACGCTCCCCACTAACGCACGCTCCCCACTAACTCACTCACGCTCTCTCACGCTCCCCACTCCGCTCACTCACGCTCTCTCCCCACTCACTCACGCTCCCCACTAACTCACTCACTCACGCTCTCTCACGCTCCCCACTCCGCTCACTCACGCTCTCTCCCCACTCACTCACGCTCCCCACTAACTCACTCACTCACGCTCTCTCACGCTCCCCACTCACGCTCACTCACGCACGCACTTGGAACGCCGCCAAGGCCACAGTGGTGAATATGTCGACTGCGGATTCGATGTTTGTCGACGCGGCGCGCCACCTCGCCGGAGACTCGGGACGACGTCGCAACGACGAATCGTCCCGCGTGCAGGTGCCCCGCATCGCGAGGCCGCTCGGGAGGAGGAGGAGGGGGGGGGGGGTCGGTAGGGAGGTCGTCGTCCAGCAGTGGATTGGTCACGGCCGATGATGGTAACACTTTAGGCAGCAGCAGCAGCAGTTTGCTTCTTGTTCTTTCTACATCGAGTCGGCGGTGAGGACCGCGCTTCTCCGTGACTCTGGGGACCTGGAGGCTCTCGGACACTCGCGGGAGGGCGATCTCGTCCGCGTCCTTCGCTCCCCGTGCGCGATGCACAGGCGCAGCAGGAGGCAGCAACAGCAAGTCGACACCGTTGATTGCTCCCCATGATTCTTCAGCAACATTTTGTCAATCCGCTGCTGGATGAGAGCCCCCCCCCTCACCCCGTCCACCGCGTGCCGTGCCACGCGGCGTAGTCGGTCGCGATTTTAGGAGCGCGCCACGGGGGTGATCGCCACCGCCGATGTCCGCTGCGCCACCGATTTCCCCGGCACGCACGTCCACAGAGCCCCCCCCCCCTCCTCTCCTTGAGCGGCCCAACACACCGACAGAGACTCAGAGAGGCGTGGGAGACTGTTGGGGTGGGGTGGACAGCGCGAACACGCCCGGCCGTCTTTGTCTCTCGGACGGGGTCTCGTAACCGCGTGCTGGTACTGCCGCTTGCAACGTGCAGACCAGATAGATACATTGCACACGCACACACACGTGCAGCCCAGATAAATACATTGCACACACACACACGTGCAGCCCAGATTGATACATTGCACACACACACACGTGCAGACCAGATAAATACATTGCACACACACACACGTGCAGACCAGATAAATACAATGCACACACACACACGTGCAGACCAGATAAATACATTGCACACACACACACACGTGCAACCCAGATAGATACATTGCACACGCACACACGTGCGGCCCAGATAGATACATTGCACACACACACACGTGCAGACCAGATAGATACATTGTACACACACACACGTGTAGACCAGATAGATACATTGCACACACGCACACGTGCAGCCCAGATAGATACATTGCACACACACACACACGTGCAGCCCAGATATATACATTGCACACACACACGTGCAGCCCAGATATATACATTGCACACACACACACGTGTAGACCAGATAAATACATCACACACACACACGTGCAGCCCAGATAGCTACATTGCACACACACACACGTGTAGCCCAGATAGATACATTGCACACACACACACGTGCAGCCCAGATATATACATTGCACACACACACGTGCAGACCAGATATATACATTGCACACACACACACGTGTAGACCAGATAAATACATCACACACACACACGTGCAGCCCAGATATATACATTGCACACACACACACGTGTAGACCAGATAAATACATCACACACACACACGTGCAACCCAGATAGATACATTGCACACACACACACGTGCAACCCAGATAGATACATTGCACACACACACACGTGCAGACCAGATAAATACATCACACACACACACGTGCAGCCCAGATAGATACATCACACACACACACGTGCAGCCCAGATATATACATTGCACACACACACACGTGCAGCCGAGATAAATACATCACACACACACACGTGCAGCCAGATAGATACATCACACACACACACGTGCAGCCCAGATATATACATTGCACACACACACGTGCAGCCCAGATAAATACATCACACACACACACACACGTGCAGCCCAGATAGATACATTGCACACACACACACGTGCAGTCCAGATAGATACATTGCACACACGCACACACGTGCAGCCCAGATACATTGCACACACACACACGTGCAGCCCAGAAAGATACATTGCACACACACACGTGCAGCCCAGATACATTGCACACACACACACGTGCAGTCCAGATAGATACATTGCACACACGCACACACGTGCAGCCCAGATACATTGCACACACACACGTGCGGCCCAGATAGATACATTGCACACACACACACGTGCAGCCCAGATACATTGCACACACACACGTGCAGCCCAGATAGATACATTGCACACACACACACGTGCAGCCCAGATACATTGCACACACACACGTGCAGCCCAGATATATACATTGCACACACGCACACGTGCAGCCCACATAGATACATTGCACACACACACACGTGCAGCCGAGATTGATACATTGCACACACACACACGTGCAGCCGAGATTGATACATTGCACACACACACACGTGCATCCCAGATAGATACATTGCACACACACACACGTGCAGCCCAGATATATACATTGCACACACACACACGTGCATCCCAGATAGATACATTGCACACACACACACGTGCAGCCGAGATAGATACATTGCACACACACACACGTGCAGCCCAGATATATACATTGCACACACACACACACGTGCAACCCAGATAGATACATTGCACACACACACACGTGCAGCCCAGATATATACATTGCACACACGCACACGTGCAGCCCAGAAAGATACATTGCACACACACACACGTGCAACCCAGATAGATACATTGCACACACACACACGTGCAACCCAGATAGATACATTGCACACACACACACGTGCAACCCAGATAGATACATTGCACACACACACACGTGCAACCCAGATAGATACATTGCACACACACACACGTGCAGCCCAGATAGATACATTGCACACACGCATGTGTATGCGTTGTTACCCTGACACTATCAAAGGCAAAGACAAAGATTCCCCCCGTATAGCCTGTAACAGACTGTTGGGGCAAGTTCTGTTAGCCGACACCTATGAAGGCCGGCACGGCACACGAGGGGGTGGGTGGGTGGTCAACACCACGCCCGGCAGCCTTTGTCTCTCCAGTGGCGATGTACTCATTTGAGGCTGAGTCGACCTTGGGGAGGCCCAGGACCGGTTCAGATCATCGTCACTGGGTGTTGGTGGCCGTGAGCGGCGAATCGAACTCGGGTCGCCGGGTGCGTTGCGCAGCGATGCTGACCGCTCCGCCACCGCTCCCCCCACACAGCAGCACGCACCAAACACACAATCACACACCCTGCTGACAACACCCACTGACACACCCACACACGCGTCGTAGGGCCTGTCTATCCACACACGTCTCTGTCTCTCTCGACACGTCATCCACCAATAAGGCAAACATCCACCAACCTACACGCAGCTGTACACCCAACCACAAAGATAGACAAAGATCCCCCGTATAGCCTTAACAGACTGTTGGGGCAAGTGCTGTTAGCGAGCACCTATGAAGGCCGGAACGGTACACGAGGGGGTGGGTGGCCAGGACCACGCCCGACCGCCTTTGTCTCCCCAGTGGCGATGTTTACACACCGCACCAGGTATTCATTTAAGGCTGAGTCGACCTAGGGGAGGCCCAGGACCGGTTCAGATAATCGCCGTGAGCGGGAATCAAACCCGGGTCGCCAGGTTCATAGCGCAGCGCGCTAACAGCTACACTACCGCTCCCCACAGAGACACACACAGACACACACACACACCCACACACCCACACACACCCACACACACCCCCACACACACACCACCACAAGTTGCTGTTTGCGAGCCGACACGGTGCATGAGAATTACGAATAGGTTTTACCCTTTCTGGCAATAAAACATTTGCGTTAAGGTGTCAACACACCAAACAGAATCCCCTTTTCAAGGAATCCTGTCTGTATTAACCCACACGCAATTTTGATGAATGTGCAAACAATAAAAAAACATGCTCTGAAAAAATAAGAATAATAAAAGATGCATTGTCTTTGAAACTGATTGGTCCGCACCAGAGACAGCTTTCTTTTTGAGCCTCGTTCTTAAACGGTGTTAGACCCCAGGACGCCTTTTGTTGCCATAAAAAAGTGGAAAAAACTATTCTCATATTTTGGTACTGGCAAAGGAGGTCCCATAAGGCGAACAGCTTAAAAGTTTCGAAGACAATGCCCTATATAATTATTGTTGTTTGCTTGTTAACCGCAAGCACTGTGTGTGGTGAATGCAGCCATTAAGATTTTTTAACACCTTAACACAACTGCTTTATTGCCAGAAAGGGTCAAACCTATTCTCATATTTTACTAAACTTGCAAGAAAGGTTCCATGTTACGGCGCATGAGATCGGTTGGGTCGCCTCGAAACCACGCCCGGCCGCCTTTGTCTCCTTCATAGTGGCGATGTTTACACGTCCGTCGCACAAGGTACTCAATTTGAGGCTTAACCGACCTAGGGCCGGGCCCAGACCCGGTCATTGGATTGTGGCGCAGTTTGCGCAAAGCACTGCCGCTCCAAAGACAAAGGTCCCCCACGTAGACTTTAACAGAGTGTTGGGGCAAGTGCTGTTCGCGGTCACCGATGACGGCCGTGCCGCGGCCTTCAAAGGATGGGTGGCCAGTTCCACGCCCGGCCGCCTTTGTCTCCCTGGCAGCGATGTTTACACACCGCACTAGGTACTCATTCGAGGCTGAGTCGACCTAGGCGTTAACCCAAAGTCGGGTCAGATAATCGTCACTGGTGCTGGCCGTGAGCGGGATTCGAACTCGGGTCGCCCGGTTTCGCAGAGCGACACACCCTACGAACCCACGCTACCGCTCCCACGACCGCCTTTGTCTCCCCGTTGGCGATGTTGACACACCACCGCACCAGGTACCCATTTGAGTCCGAGTCGAGCCAACAGGACGCTGCTCAGACAATCGTCACCGACGCCTCGCCGCTGAGCGGGATTAGAACCCGGGTCGCCGGGTAACGCTATAACCGCTGCGCGACCACCGCTAACTCACCGTGTGTTTGTGTGCGGGGGGGTGATGGTGGTGGTGGTGGAGCGCAGGGTTCACGTTTCCACGCGTCTCGCCGGGAGCGCTACGGCAACGTGTTCAAGACGCACCTGCTGGGACGGCCCGTGGTGCGCGTGACGGGCGCCGAGAACGTGCGTCGAGTGCTCATGGGCGAGCACGCGCTCGTCAGCTCGCAGTGGCCGCTCAGCACCCGCCTCTTGCTGGGAGCCAACAGCCTGGGCATGTCCGTGGGCGACGCGCACAGGAACAAGCGCAAGGTAACGCCACCACCACCACCACCCCAGCTCCCTCTCCAAGTACGCACAACGACGTGGCCGCGTCCACCGCGGATGCGCTGTCTCACCCCGCACCGCCACTTAGCGTCGCGACGCAATGTGTAAATGCTGTACTCCGTGCGGTGGCTTGAGCGATGTAAGCGTGGTCGTGGCGCAAGGAATGAAATGGGGCCCCCCCATTTCGATTTCTCCCTCTGGACCATGGACCCCTTGGGGGGGGGGGGACCCCCTCTGGACCACGGGAGAGAGAGCGGCCCTCGGGAAAACAGACACTGCGTGCGGGCTTGCAGGAGGCACGCCAAAACGCGGCGATGTTTTGTGCGCCAGGCGAGGTGGCACCTCGGGGCTGTGACGTGTGAGGGTGTCCGAAGGCTCGCCGCTGCTGGGCAGGAGGAGGGTTCACGGGGCAGACTCCCCAGGTGCCATGGGTTGACCGGCGGCAGTGATGCCCGACAGACGCACCACCAGGTTGTGTTCCCTGCTGTGCCAAATGAAATGAAATAAAACTCCGCTGCGTTTTAGCCACCCGGCGCTCCGCTTGGCACGCGCGCAAAACCTTTGAGCTGCCTCAAAACTTCGCGGCCACGCTCTTTGCCCCGCTGCCGCACTGAGTCGCGATCTAGGGAGAGGGGTGGGTGGCGAGAGGGAGAGGGGTGGGGGGCTAGATCGGTCACTGAACGGCACGGAGGAGAGTTCGTCTGTCCTAGCTTGTGAACAGTGAGGGCTTGAGAACCACCATGTCATATCGGTCGGAACTCCCTAGAATAACGTTTCCACGCCACGCCCATTCTATGAACAGATTTATGTAGGTAGAAACCTGTTCATAGGATTATAGGAAGATATGTTGCCGTATTCCTGGATTATTTTAGTAAGGCGTACCTTGTACACGAGCGTAGAATCCAGGGAGATTCTAGGAGCAAGTTTTGACTTTGTGATTCACACCCTGGTGATGATGATGACGAGAAGCAATATACGTGGTTCAGAGGCCAGAGATCTGAGCCAGTGCCACAGAGATCCTGGAATCGAATCCGTGTGAAGGTTATCGAGTGGTTTAGGGGTTAGAGATATTGAGCCAGCACCACCAAGACCTGGGTTCGAATCCAGGTGAAGGTGCCCAGGTGGATTACGGATTAGTGACATCGAGGCAGCGCCACTAAGGATATGAGTTAGAGTCAAGGTGACGGTGCCCAGGTGGATTACGGGTTGGTGATATTGAACCAGCGCCAATAAAGATATGAGTTAGAGCCAAGGTGACGGTGGCTATGTGGCTGAGGGATTAGGGCTCTGAGTTGGCACCACTGAGTCACTGGGGTCACACCTGGATTTAAGCCAGCTGCGATTAAACTGGTTCTCAAGTTTAGTGAGATAATGGTCTCAACCCAATCATCAATGGCTGCACAAAGACCACCCCTTTGAAAATTGTGTTCTCATTAAAAATGGCTTATTCCAGGTCTGGGAATGAAACAAAACGACAATTTTACGTGCAGCAAATAATGCACGAAGGGCATATTAAGACAGGTCTGTATTTATAGGCCTATTAAAGAAGATTCAGACTTAGTTCTGTGATGTTACCTTCCAAGATCCTTCTCTGACATGCGCTGATACACTGCTAGCTGAAAGAGCTTTGGATGGAAATGTCTTCATATCATCACAAGATGATGCTCATAGCACAATGTGGGAAGGCAGCAGCAGCAGCAGCCACGCGATGAGCCGCCACCAACAATCGCCCATTGTAATCAGCCAAATAACGAGCGTTTAACAATCGGAACACGATTATGAAATCCCTAACATCACCGCCGTTAAACTCCCCCCCCCCCTGCCCACCCTCCCTACAGGTGATGGCGCAGGTGTTCAGCCACGCGGCGCTGGAGGGCTACCTGCCGCAGGTGCAGCAGATGGTGCGCGCTGCCGTGTCGCGCTGGCGAGACTGCCCCGGCGTCGTCACGGTGTACCCCGAGTGCAAGACGCTGACGTTCCGCGTGGCGCTGCACGTGGTGGTGAGCTCGCGCATCGCGCCCCACGAGGAGGCGCTGCTCGCCGACGCCTTCGAGCAGTTCGTCGAGAACTTCTTCTCACTGCCGCTCGACGTGCCCTTCAGCGGCCTGCGCAAGGTGAGGAGCACAGAGGAGGAGGAGGGCGGCCCGCGTGCGTGCGTGCGTGGCGACACGGTGGGGCACACCCCGGGACTAATGTCCAGCCCAACGATGAATTTGTCCGCCCCCACCACGGGATCTGTCCACCCCACCACGGGCTTTGTCCACCCCACCACGGACTTTGTCCACCCCAACCTGCACTCCTGTCCACCCCCCCACCCTCGAATCTGTCCACCCCAATTTGGACTCTGTCCACCCCACCCCCGACTTCTGTCCACCCCACCACGGAATCTGTCCACCCCACCACAGGATCTGTCCACCCCACCCCAGATTCCTGTTCACTCTACCACGGACTCTGTCCCCCCCCCCCCCACCCTCGAATCTGTCCACCCCAACTTGGACTCTGTCCACCCCACCCCCGACTTCTGTCCACCCCACCACGGAATTTGTCCACCCCACCGTGGACTCCTGTCCGGGGTGGGGTGGACGTACCGATGAAGTTACTTTATTTTACGTACACTTACAACTTCGCAATGGCGAACGGGTTCATCGCGAGAAGACGTGCACACGCGCGAGGCGTCATGTTGACGGACTGCCGAGAACGACGAGCGGTCTCGGGCAGTGCACGTCGCTCAAAGGGACGATGATCCCGCACCTTCTATTATCATGGTTGGCTACGTACGGCGCAAAAGAAGTTCAACACACACACGTGTCTAATGTAGAGACGGAGCGATGAGATCGGCCTCGTGGCTCACAGACAGGAGCTAGACGGGTGGAATTCATCCGGCAGTGGATAGAACATGCCTGCTGATGAAGATGCGATGTGTAGCGATGAACGCGGTGATTTTCGTGAATGTGTTCTTTTTTTTCATTGTCATCGTCAATGTTTGTGTTTAGTTTGTTGTCCTTCCCCCCCCCGCCGCACCTCCAATTGTCACGGTTGTCTAAGTACGTACGGTGCGAGAGAAGTTCAACATGCGTACATACGTTAACGATTAAAGGGGGTGTTTGTGGTCGACTAGAGAGGAACGGCGCACGTTTTCTCACTCGTATGTCAACCCCGCCATCGGCAGAAGTGTAGACCCTGAAAGTTCATTTCAGTTTGCTCATCGCCCTTTGGCTGTCCCATACCGAGAAGGGATTAAATAATAGCCGAGTGCCGTGTCGAGTCTTGCGCGATTCAGTCAAGCCCGGTCAAGCCTTCCCCGTCAATGAATCTTGTGTTGGTTCGATGAGCCGCAGGTGAAAAAAAGATATCTATTTATCAGAAGAAGAAGAAGAAAACTACTCCGTGGGTTTAGATATTCCCCCTCTGTCACCCGTACTCAGGGCGAGAACCGTCTGCAGGATTTAAAGTTTGCAATCGATGCAAATTTACCCGCGCTGTGCGACCGTGGTTCGGTTCGCGGCGCAACGTGGAGCGGACCCTGCGCGCTTTGACCTCACGACAGCGGCCGGGACTCACGCCCGGGAGATGGAGCGATGAAGTCAGCTCGTTCCGCAGCAGTTAGATGGAACGTTGCATCTCGATAAAATATTTTCGCAACTTAGCCACCGTTGGTATGTTTTGTTTCATTATTGAAATTTGAACTACCGTGCCTGATATGCAGTAGGTAATTGGTTCGATCCAGAACCGGACGTCTGTAGATTTGAAGTTTGCATGTCTCCCTCCCCGTGGTCGCGTGGATTTTTCTCTGGATCCTCCAGGTTTTCCCCTCCACATTTAGAAACACACGTTTAGAGCATTTGTCTGCTCTAAATTTCTACGTGACAAGTCACTTCGTTGAGCTATCATTTGTGGGCAGGTCGCTTGTAAAACAAACTATACAGCTCAGTGGGCCTTACCTGGTCAAATAAAATGTAGTTCAGTCGTTTTAGCTTACTTGCTGCTCTGCATGAGAGTGGCTTCATCATCCAACCCTGACTCTGTGTCCCCCCCCCCCCATCTGCCGCAGGGCCTCAAGGCCAGGAAGGTGTTGCACGGTTACCTGGACAAGCTCCTTCGCGACAAGCGCGAGCGGCCGGAGCTCAAGGAGTCCCAGGATGCCATGGACATCCTCATCAGCAGTGCCAAGGAGCATGGCAAGGAGATGTCCATGCTGGAGCTGAAGGTGAGAGGACGCAGATCTTCTCCAAAACCCGCGGCGGTCGTCATCCCTGTCAGCCACGCAGAGCCTCTCCGCCTCTCAGATTTAGTTCGATTCTCCTTGCCGACGTCTGTACTTATGTGCGTTGAACTTCTTTCGCATCGTACGTAGACAACCGTGCTGATCGGAGGCGCAGGGGAAGGATGACAAACTAAAAACACAAAAACGGGAATGTGCAGTGATTGAAAACGTTTTCTTTTCGGCATCACTGGTGGTGGTGGCGATGCACGTGGTTTGTAATCCTGCACTGCGGAGGCGAGGGTTCTGGGAATCACACAAATGTTGTGAAATCCCTTCCTGTGGGCGTTGAGGTGCCATACCCTGACTCGCCAGAAGGTGGCACCAGCAAGTGGACAAAATCGCCATCTGTTTGCATCTGTACAGGGGATAGAGTGCAGCTCCCTTGCACGATAGTATTAGTTTTCTTTGGGTGCTCTGGTTTCCTCCCACTTGTATAATAAGCATCTCACCATTAATTGGCTGACATCTTAAAATAAAACCCCAATGTAGCGGGACACTCGCCAAAAGAGTAAATACGTGCATTTGAAATCTTTATTATAATCACGGTAGAATTAAGCTTTCTAAAAGCACTCCATTCCCATCTCGCTCGCCTCTTCGCTTCGTTATTTTGATCCCGGTCCATAGTGGTTTTTTTTGCAAAAAAAATCAATGCGCGGTGGGATTCATTTGAGTTTTTTTGTTTGCGGTGGGGCAGTTGCGGTACCCTGGTCAGCTGACCGGTCAGCTGACCGGTCAGCTGACCGGTCAGTGCCGCGGAGGGTTCATGGCGTGGTCCACGACCACTGCTGAAGCGCGTCGCGTGAACGGGGAGATTTGCAGACGCGATAGGCGGGTGGGCGCGCGGTTACCGACACGTCGGGCACGTGTTGCTCACGCTGCGAGCGCAGGAGCGTTGGTTCGGGTGATGACGATGCTGAATCCTTGGCACCAGCGCGTGGCTACCGCTGGATTCCCCCGCTCGTCCCCGGTTCCTCTCCGCACCTCCGAGTCGTCGTCGTCGTCACTCTGTTCCTCTCTACGAGAGCGAGCGAATTCTCTGCGGCGCTTTACAAGTTCAAATTAGTGTTACACTGGTCAAAAAAAAATAATAAATTCTGGCCTGGACTTTTGCAGCTGTTTTAGACTAATTTCAGGGTGCTGATTCCAAATCTGATCTCAGATTTGCTATCGGCATACCCCATTTTCATTGATTTTACCCAAAATTAACTCTGTCACTTATGATTGCAAGTTGTTGCGAGTCAGTGACTGCTTTAGTGTTAAAATATGGTGCTGTATTTTTAGGATAGTGTGTTTATAATATCATTTTATGTAAGTATCCACATTTATTTAATATTTTTCTTCTGCAGTTTTTATTGAAAATGCAATATTTGATATCTCAAAAACCTGATGTGATAGACAAAAACTGATGCCAGATTTGGAATCAGCACCCCAAAATTACATTAAAACCGTTGGAATACCTGATGGCAGAAAAAGTGTGTTGACCAGTGATATTGTTAGCCTCCCCAAGAAAAATGCCAACGTTGGTTCAACGTTGGCCCAACGTGACACGTTTACCGGGCTCTTCCATCTTCGTGTAATTGCATCGAAGTTTTCGCCCACTCTGCATGTGAACAAATACAAAGACAAATACATCTCCCCTATAGCCTTGGCAAACTGTTGGGGCCATTGTTGCTGGCGAGCGCCTATGAAGGCCGACACATGGAAAACGAGGTCAGGAAGATGGAGGGGGGGTTGGCCAGCTCCTCACCCAGCCAGCTTTGTCTCCCTAGTGACAATGTTTATTTATTCACCGCCCCTGGTTATTCATTTGAGGCTGAGTCAACCGAAGGGAGGCACAGGACCGGTTCAGATAATTCACTATGTAACACGATTTTTGTTCGTGGGTAGTAAGTGTTATTTCTAATTGCTTATGCATCAAAAGTGCAGAAAATGGATATTATTCTCCACGAACTTTGCTTTTGTGACCAGGACTTGATGTGAAGGAATGACGACACAAATGCACACACCACGTTTTCTCATTGAAAATAGGTACATTTCTAAATATCACTGTCCTGGTCACAAAAGCAAAGTTTTTGGGGAATAATAGCTATTTTCTGTACTTTTGAGGCATAAGCAATTAGGAAACAACACTTACTACCCAGGAAGAAAAAATAAATACATTTGTTACACAGTGTTATTAACGGAGTGGATTATTAACTTTGCTTTTGTGTCCTGGTCACAAAAGCAAAGTTTGTGGGAAATAATAATAATAGCCAGTTTCTGTCCGTTTGAGGCATAAGCAATTAGAAAATAAAGCTAACTACCCAGGAACAATTTTTTTATTGTTTCGTGACACATCATCGCCATACTCTTACGCTTTTTTCGGTAAAGTCACGTAGGTAAAAAATTTAAATAAAATTAATAGAAGTAATAATAGAAATAAAATAATAAATCACGACGTTTCGGAGGCAACACAAACTTCCGTCATCATCGCCAGCCAACGCAGCCCTTTGCCCGCCGGTGGGGCTCATCACGCGTACACGCGCGCGTTCGTATGTAGAGCGCACACGCGCGCGTTAGTATGTCGAGCGCACACGCGCGTTCGTATGTAGAGCGCACACGCGCCTGTCCGTATGTCGAGTGCACACGCGCCTGTCCGTATGTCAAGCGCACACGCGAGTGCTGTCGTGAGTTTTCACGAGCGAGAGATGCAACCCGCTCGGCACGCTGCTCACCCCCCTGTACGCTCGCCGCACACGCTCTACTACGCACACGCAAAAAGGAAGCGGCCGTGGAGCTGATCTTCGCCGCGCACGCCACCACGGCGAGCGCCAGCACGTCCCTCGTGCTCCAGCTGCTCAAGCACCCCGACGCGCTGGCGCGCCTGCGGCGGGAGCTCGCCGATGCCGGCCTCGTCGGCGGCGGCGGTAACGGGGGTCCGGCAGAGGCGGGAACGTCCGAGGGGCCGCTGCTCACCCTCGGACGCCTCGTCGGCCTGCGCTACCTCGACTGCGTCGTCAAGGAGGTGCTGCGGCTGCTGCCGCCCGTGTCCGGCGGATACCGCACGGCGCTCAAGACCTTCGAGCTCGAGGTTCGTTCCCTGTGGGGCCTGGGGGGGGGGCGGGCCGGGGGGGGGAGGTAAGGGTTTACCCTCAAACTTTTGACTTTTGAGGCACCGGGGTTACAGGCCCCTCTGAAACCTCTGCGTTGATCGGGCCCCGAATCGTTGTTACAAGTCACAGGTCATAGTTAGAGGTCACAGGTCATTGTTACAGGTCACAGGTCGTTGTTACAGGTCACAGGTCATTGTTAGAGGTCATAGGTCGTTGTTACAGGTCACAGGTAATTGTAACAGGTCACAGGTCATTGTTACAGGTCACAGGTCATTGTTACAGGTCACAGGTAGTTGTTACAGGTCACAGGTCATTGTTACAGGTCACAGGTAGTTGTTACAGGTCACAGGTCATTGTTACAGGTCACAGGTGATTGTTACAGGTTCGTTGATTGAGTGCTGCACGAGTCGAGTAGAACGAAGGCCGAGGGAAATGAAGGGCTGGCTGGGAGCAGGTCGGAGCTGACTTTGGAGAGTTGAACTTGATCGTGAAAAGTGACCAACACCCCCCACGCCCCCCCCCCACTGTGGCGGTGCGTACCACATGGCGCTTGTCACGCGCCGTGCTGAGAGAACGACAGCCGCTAAGCGCATCGCACGAGCGTCACAAGCGGTGGCAGATATGGGGAGGCTTTCATTTCATCTGGCAGTGGATTGATTATGACGATGATGATAGTGGTGGTGAGATATTATCTGCCTTGCCTGATATACAGGTGGTCGTGATTTCTCCCCGTGGTCGCGTGGATTTTTCTCCAGGGCCCTCCGGTTTTCCCCTCCACATTTAGAATCAACGTCACGTGTTTAGAGCGTGATAAGCCACTTCGTTAAGCTATCATTTGTGGCCAGGTCGGTCTTACCTGCTAAATAAATTAATACAATTGCCTCGTTTCGAACTACACATGCAACCGCATTCTATCAATTAAACTTTTTTTTATTGCAGCAGGTAAGACCTACTGATCGATATAGCTCTTTCAGAAGCGACCTTGCCACAAATGATAGCTCAATGAAGCGGCTTATTATCGCGTGGACATTTATCGCAGCCAAATACGGCAGGCATCGTCCGAGGTCGGGATTGAACCCACGGCCCTCCTGTATACCAGGCGAGGTAGTCAACATCCCCCAGCCCACCGCTGCGCCCACATGCACGCGCTTGACCGTCGCTATTTGCCCTCCGTCACCCGGCCTGCTCCCACCCCGCAGGGCTGCCAGATCCCCAAGGGCTGGAGCGTCCTCTACAGCATCCGCGACACGCACGAGACGGCGCCGGCCTTCAGCTCGCCGCTCGACTTCGACCCCGACCGCTTCGACGCGACGCGCGCCGAGGACTCGAAGGAGCGCTTCAGCTACCTGCCGTTCGGCGGCGGCGTGCGCAGCTGCCTGGGCAAGGAACTCGCCAAGCTCATCCTCAAGGTGCTGGCCGTCGAGCTGGCCGGCGGCTGCACCTGGGAGCTGGCGAGCGCCGAGTACCCGCGCATGCAGACGGTGCCCATCGTCCACCCGGTGGACGGACTCCACGTGCGCTTCAAGGCCCTGCCCGCCGACGAGGGGGTCGAGAAGAAGCCGGCGGCGGCGGCGGCGGCGGTTTCGGAGAGCGACGGCGACGCCGAACGGGAGTGAATCCTCCCGCTCGGCTGATCCTCCCGCGTCACGGCGGACGGGGGGATGTGACGCGGGGAGACGACGGAGAGACGGAGGAGAGATGGTGTTGAGGTGTTATGTACCCCTTGCGCGCGTGTCTGTGTCTGTGGGTGCGGGTGGCGGCGTAGCGGCGAGGGTGCCGCGCTACGAGCCCGGCGACCCGAGTTCGATTCCCGCTCACGGCCACCGGCACCAGTGACGATTATCTGAACCGGTCCTGGGCCTCCGCTTGGTCGATTCAGCCTCAAATGAGTACCTGGTGCGATGTGTAAACATCATCACAGGGAGACAAAGGCGGCCGGGCGTGGTGTTGGCCACCCACCCTCTTGTGTGCCGTGCTGGCCTTCATAGGTGCTCGCTAACAGCACTTGCCCCAACAGTATGTTAAGGTTATACGGGGGATCTTTGTTATTTTTTTAGGTTTATTAGGGCACTCTGGTTGCACCGTATGTGGATTAATAACGAATAATAATGCAAATTGTCCCAAGTTCGGATATGTGTGTGTGTGGGTGTGTGTCCGTCTGTGTGTCTCTCTCACTATGTCTGCCTCGCTGTCTTTCACGTCTTTTTCGCTATTTTTCTGGGTGTCCATATTTGCAGTTGTTTGTCTCACTGCCTGTCCGTCTGGTTGGTTTGTGTGTCTGCACGTCTGCCCCTACTTAAATAAGAGTTGGGTAGTTGTGACGGTCTGAATATGCCTGTAAATGCTACTCCTTTGGTAGGATCCCGCTCTAAACATCGGACATCCCAAGCAGTTCCCTCCTGAAAACGAGCCTCGAAAGCCCATTCGCGAAGCGGCGGAGAGGGCCCGGATGTGCCATTCTAGTTGACATCGCAATCGGCTGAGTAGGTTTGGAGGTCGCGGTTTGGGGGAGACTTTCATCCAGCAGTGGATCGATTGATGGGTTCGGCATTGGGTAGGGATAGAGGCGACACGGAGGGTCCCGACGTGAAATCAAATGTCCACGTGCTCCCCGCGCGTAGATTCACTCTGGTGGGGGGTGAAATTAACGTAAGAAAAAAACAACCAATGTCAGTTTGTTAGTGGGTTTGTTGTTGTTGCTGTTACTTTACCATTCACTTTTATCAGTGGCCGCGGTGTCGTGGTCAGCGCAACCGGACGAACGATCCAGAGGTCAAGAGGTCAACCAGTTCCAAGTGTCTTAGATTGACCCCCCCCCCCCTTGCCTCCACACCGCCTATGTCCACCCAGCAGCAATAACGAGTGCTCCACGGTGCATCGGTGGGGTAAAGTGTGGGAAAACTCCCACCTCGTCCACGACGTTAGGCCAGCGTGGAAGAATAGGCCAAAATACCACCCTCCGTCAGAGGAACGCTCCCCTAGAGCTCTCCCCAGTGGAGGCCAGCTGTGGCGAGAGCACGTGACCCCAGGAGCCGCTCTCGTCGTGTTTGCCGAAGCCGCAGATCAACCCACAACCACCACCACCACCACTCCACCCCACGCCGACTCACCACCACCACCACTCCACCCCACGCCGACTCACTACCACTCCACCCCACGCCGACCCACCACAACCACCACCACCACCACTCCACCCCACGCCGACTCACTACCACCACCACCACCACCCCACGCCGACCCACAACCACTCCACCCCACGCCGACCCACCACCACCACCACCACTCCACCCCACGCCGACCCGCCAGCACCGAAAGGCTCCGAACAGCGCCTGGCTCACTGACGCGACACCGTTCCACCTCCGCGCGCGTGAGTAGCGATGCGCCCGTAATCCGCTGTCGACGCGTTCGTGTCACTGGCGCTTGGCAAGTGCTCGCGAGATCGCCCTTCAGTAGCCGCGTCGATAAGATGTATAGAGAGGGAGGGGTGGGGCAGGTAAAGTTGAAGGAAAATATTTTATTTTTGTATAAGTATCCGGTATAGCGCTTAATGATGATGTCCAACGCTGCTGTAAAAACGCAGGATAAGTTGGCACGGTGGGGGGAGGGGGGGGTCACGTTGGGTTTAAAGCAAAAGCCGCAAAGGGAACGTCGCAAGGACTTTCGGAACCGAGTGACATACCGAGACGGGCGATGAAGCAGTCTCGACACGTTGCATTGCGTGCATGACCCAACCTGTACATACGTTAGCACTTCATGTAGTCGACACTATCATCATAAGTTGTAACCAAACGATGTATTATTGTTGTTGTCGGTATTATAATTATTGCGTGCTATTATTGAGACCGCTGTCTGTTTCAGTATTGAGTCTGCATCCTGACGAGTATTTCCGCGGGTAGCTGACACGTGCGTTGTCCGTTACAAGATAGCCTTAATGAGAAATCACACACACACGCGCGCACCCATGGATTTCTATATTTGTACTTCGCGGCCTCGTCATTACGGCATTGCATTCGTTGTTTGTAAATAGAGCACATTTAGTGCCCTCCCTGTGTTTGTTTCTCAAGTATTCCCCCCCCCCCGACATCCCCCATCCCACACCTTCTGTCCATTTACGCCAATATTGAACGTAAGTTCCCCCTAACGTATTTAATTAACATCGGCTGTGGATCATGTTATTTAATAATAAAAAAACAACCCGACGTAATGACACGCTTGTGCGTCTTCCCTTAATGTGTGTGTGCGCGCACGTGTGACAGATCTCAACGACGGATACTGTGATAGCTTCATCGTCATGAACCGCGTGTCCCGAATGTTGTCACGTCCGAGTCGGTGGCTGTTGATCTGAGCGCGACGAAGTGAAATCGGTGGCCCTGAGAAGCTGTAGGAGTGCCCGCTGGGCGAGTCGCCCGATCAACCCTCACGCTTCGCCGCCCAGTCGAATAGAAAACAGTCTTTTTTTACGAGGAGTCATGTTTGCATAGACCACAATACCTGCAGTCATAATGCAAACAAAAAACACAACTCTGATAATGTATGCGTTGTCCTTGAAGTTGATTGGTCCACACCCGAGACAGCTTTCCTTAGAGCCTAGTTTCACATGGTGTTGGACCAGATGACGCCTTTTGGCTCTAAGGAAAGCTGTCTCGGGTGTGGACCAATCAACTTCAAAGACAAGTGCATACATTATCAGAGTTGTGTGTTTTTGTTTGCATTATGACTGCAGGTATTGTGGTCTATGCAAACATGACTCCTCGTAAAAAGGTGTCAATTTTGTTGCCAGATAAAAGGGTAAAAAACCAATTATCATATTTTTTACTGGAAAATGAGGTTCCAATGGAGAAAAATAGTCGACACTTCTAGTCGATTGGAATGATTTGTATAATGTACGACTGACCTATATCGAAGCTTACATTTGTATGATAACGTTTTCCGTTCAATGCGACTTTACGAATAACGTGAATTTGAAACAACACCGTTCTATCGCGCAAAAGCAAACGCGCTCCAGTCTCTCTCGCCGCATGTAAATGTTTCAGCCCATCAGCCCTATTTCATCACTGGCTTTTGGGGCAGAATGTAATCGAGCGACGTTTGTGTAAGCAACGAAACTCTGGACGGCTTTCGGCCTTCGGGGGTATCTCATCAGCAGAATCCGGCTTTGTTACGCAAACGTCGGCCGGATATAGCCCAGTCGTTATTGGCAAAGAGCAGCGAGCACCACGCTCACGGGGTCGCGTCGAACGCACAGCGAGCGCGCATGGCAGGACGGTGACTCAACGAGCGGCGAATGCGTGGTGCGGTGTACAGCTTGGGTGGCAACAGTCTAGGCGACTTTTGCTCGTCGTCTTGTGCGGCGGAGAAAACATCCTCCTAAGGTTCAGCCTCCACTTCTCCCCGACGGTCCTCATCTTTTGATACCAAAAGGGCGACGGACCCCAACATCTTAAGGGGCCGGTCAACGTGCTCGTCGACTACGCCAAGCTCGCCATTTACAGGGCGAGGAAGGTGGCCCTGGAGGGGAAACGTCCGGCCAGCAGCGTGGGCATCTTCCGCGCTCTGGTCGGAGCCAGGGTGTGTGGGCTGGAGTTCCGCCATGCGGCGCGGCTGACCCACGCCGTGCCGGCCTTCAATGAGCAGTGGGCGATGGAGGAGGCCGTGTGCTCGGTGGCAGATGACGGGGAGCTCTGCATGCAGTTATGAGCTACCCGTCGGAGGCCGTCGGACTGCGAGAAGGGCTGCGTGCAGAACGAGAGAGAGCGAGAGAGTGAGCGAGAGAGTGACCGAGAGAGTGAGCGAGAGAGTGAGCGAAAGGTGGGGGTTTACATAAATTAAAGTAAAAAAAAATACGAAATGATAAACGAAGCAAAGTGCCGACTGCACCGAGCATCTTCTTGTTTCCACAGATCGTAAAAAAGAGAGGGAGGGAGGGAGAGAGAGAGACACGTGTGCCCCGCAATAGGATCAGTGCTGCGCCACCTATCGTCTCGTCGCTGGGCACGCGACGCAGACGTCTTTCGCCGAAGGCACGAGGCGTGAAAGTGTAAAGTGATCAAATGCGCGCGTCCGGGACTCGCGGCGGCGACGTGCAACGATATCATGCGGCGGTTGTGCGATCTGGTGGTAGAATAATCCGCGTGTATTCGTCTCAAAGTCCTCGCCTTTTTACCCATTCATTGCTCAATCGTCTCACTCCCCAACCCACCCCGGTAGCTACGCGGGGCGGTGATGCGGAATGGGTGTAGTTCGTGCGCTCAGCTAAGTTGAGTTCGATTCCCGTCTGCGGATAATTTCATTGGCGATTAACCAGCGTGGTGAAGTATGGTCACCCCCGGCGCATAACCACAGTGTGCAGAGGCCGTAGCTTAGCAGTGAATAATGGATGTACATTTATATTTTCATCGTACGAGGTCAATTCCAGAAGTCTCTGGCCTGGAGAAACCGACTTGCTGTACTGCCTTATGCTGGTTGCCCTACAGGCGGGCGTCTCACACACTTCATATGTCCATCTCTGCGTGGCCCACCAACCCTGTTGCTATGTCAAGCTGGCGTACGCGTGTCGCATTCGCCATTTACCAGAGCTTTGTTTTTCCACCGAATATTGCCCGGGTCGCCGGTACGGTGGAGGAGAGTGACGAGCAGCAGTCACAAGCCGTCGAGCGAGGCATACTTGGGATGCGGCGTGGCCCAATGTGTGAAACCGAATTTTCTGGGGCGCTGACCCAGACAGATCCGGCCTAAATGAAGCTCTGGCTGCTACGTCACCAGACGGTGGACTGCTCGGCAGTGGACTGGACAGGCGAGTTCCAAAAGGTGTGCGATGAGAAGACACGCGCGCGAACGCAGTCAAAACACCGACAACCAAATCACGCGCCCCGATCCCACCTCTGAAGCTAAGCAGGTTGTATAGCCTGGTTCGTACCCGGATGGATAACAACAACAGGGGGCTTGCCGAGATGGTGCATCCGTTTGGGGGGGGGGGGTGGGAGGTGTGTCCAGGAGTCAGGGGATGAGTGTCACCCCCCCCCCCCTCGTATGCGGTGACGAGTATTTCTCAATGTTCTCCGGTTGCCTACTCACACGTGAAGCCCCAATCACTCGACCAGAATTCACGGTCAAACATCGCAAATTGTCGCCAGACTCGGCGAGGCTTTGCCGGGTAAAGAATTTGTAATTCTCAGTTTTTGTTCATTGTGTCTGTCCTTAGGGGCAACTTCGCAGGCGTACATGGCCCAAGTCGGAGCACAGGTGTGCGTGGTGATGCCGCGGTGCAGTGGTTAGCGCTGCTACGCTACGGATTCGGCGACCCGAATTCGAATACCAAACACCCCCTAGGTAGACTCGGCCTTGAATGAGTACCTGGTGCTGTGTTGTAAATCAGCATTTTGGAGACAAAGGCGGCCGGGCGTGGCACCGCTCGCTAACAGCAATTGCCCCAACAGTCTGTCAAGGCTACAGGGAGGACCTTTGTGTGTGATACATACGTGTGTGTGTGTGTGTCAGGGTTACTGAGCTACCAACTCGGCGAGCCGAGTTCGGTTGGCCCCGAACAAACACAAACATCTTCCCGTGTGCATGGCAAGTGCTGCTTGCAAGTGCCTATCAAGGCAGTCCCGGCGCACCACGAGGGTAGGGCAATGTGCCTGCCCGCCTTTGTCTCTCGCGCGGTATGCTCGGGGTAAGCTCAGACACCTCGCTCGGCCGTGCGGCTTGTTCGGTGTGGGGATGTCGGGGGGAGGTGAGTTGGAGTGACCGCTGTTGTTGTTCATGGCAGGCGGTCGAACCCAGGTAGGTGAACTGCGCTCATAGTGCAGTACACTAACAGTCTATACTTGCCCCGACAGTCTCTCTCTCTATATATATATAGATTTACCTGACCATGACAAAAAATAATTCTAGATTTTAAGCTTTCGTGACTGCAAGGATTCATATTCTTAGGTTTTTTCGGTAAAGTCACGTAGGTAAAAATTTTAAATTAATAAAAAAAAATCACGACGTTTCGGAGGCAACACAAGCTTCCGTCTTCAGGTGGAACCGTCACAGCACGATAGCTGTATCAAGTGAAAAAAACTAAGAATATGACAAAAATAGCAAGTAAGAAAAACCATGCATATGCGTGAGTTGTCGAACGCTTTCCAGCGTGCGTTTTTGTGTGTGTGTGTCTCCTTCCTGGGAATGTTGCATTACTCAACCAATTAGTTGAATCAGTTAGTCAATTAATTAGGCAAATGATCAAGCAAGCAATCAATCAATCAATGAAATTAATTAATTCCGTTCGTGACCACGGGGGTGGGGTGGGAGCGGCGGCTCGGATCGCCGCTCAACCCGGGAGGGTGCGACGGGCAAGGCGGCGATCAACGCGGCCGTAATTGTCCCATTGCGGCGTGGGCCACCCTGGGTGGGTCCCCTCTCTCGTGGCAAGGCAGCGTCACACGACGGCTTTCTTCGCATGGGATCATCGTTACGAAATTTGCCGTGGCCCCCCTTCTCTCTTTCCCCGCAGTGCACCGACGGACAGGCGGAGAAGCGAGCGGACGGAGCCGATGCGTAAAGACGCTGCTCTCAATCTTAGTTGAAAAGCATTGACGCACCAGGCAACGTTGGAGGGGTGGGGGGAAGAGGAAGAGGAGGGGGGGCGGCGAGAGTTCAGCCAAATAAAGATGCGATCCAAAAACACGAACCAAGGTAAACACGCCAGAAAGCATTGAGATTGACTCGAATGTTCTTCGTTCGCGGAGTGCTTTAACACAACTCAACAGCTCCGCGTTTGATCCCGAATCAAAACTAACTGCGGTAAAAGCTACGAGCAAAAGTTCTAATGTTGGGCCATTTGCGGCGGAAAAAGTCAAATATACAATGCGGTCGATTCCACGGCAAAGGGAATAGCACAGCATAACGACCCATGAGCCACGTTCATTTGGGATGTAAAGTTACCGCTTTGTCATGAAGTGGTTGGTCAATGTTGTTTACACGGAAAGTACGATGGACATATATATTTGTGTGTGTGTGTGAAGGCCCACGTCATCGCAGTGTCTAAAGAGGCATGAATCATTCTTCTGAGTAAAATGTGCGTTGTCGTAAACCCTGCTCAACCAGACACAGGCAATGAATGCGGTTGTCCCGTGAACAAACGTGCGAACTGCCTACGCGTTAAATCGTTCTTGTAATTCAATTACAAATGAATTGCCCATATATATATATAAACAGTCATTT